CCTGGAGAAAGATGGGACTTTCTACTTCCATAAAGGTAGTCTCGAAAACCCACAGGGTAATTCTACATGTCCTTATAGCAGTGGTTCTCAACCCCTTTGGGGGTCAAACGACCCTTTAACAGGGTCTCCCAATTCATAACAGTAGCACCATAACAGTTATGAAGTATCAACGAAAATAACGTTATGGTTGAGGGTCACCACCACAGGAAGAACTGTATTACAGGGTTGTGGGAGTGGGAAGGTTGGGAACCACTGCCCTGTAGGGTGGCTCTGAGTCTTCATCAATTCGATGGCAGTGAGTTTGGTGGGGTTTTTCGTGAGAAAGTTCTTAAAAGAGCATGGTGCTCAAGTTAAATCTTTACTAGTTAAGATAAATTATTGTTTTTCAGATGACTGTGGAATATATCTCATAATCTGTAGCATTTTTAATTTGAGGAAAAACTGTTTAAAGCCATCAAGTTCTATTGCTTTTCATTAAAATTACATAATTTATATATGTTTTTGAAATTATGTCCCAAGGAAAGAGATAAACACGAGATATGTATAACTTATATAGAACATGTCAGATAGTCTCATTAAATGTCCACAATACATTGGTATCGCTGTACTCAGCCTTCAAAAGTAGACAAGGAAACCAACAATGGGACATGAGTAATGTGAAAAGGTCAAGTAGCAGAGCCAGTATTTGAACTCCCATCTATCTAATACTAAAGCCATGTAATTGTTCAGGTAGGACTCGTGCAGAGAACGTTGAAAGCCTGAGCCAGAACTCTTCTCAGCCAGGCAAAGTAACTTACCGACAGCAAACAGCTGCCAGCTTTCGCCTGCAGGACACAGTCTTTATACTGACACAGTTTTTTATTTAAACTTGGAAATTGATTGTAAACCTAGTAAGTGAAATGAATGTACCTCTTTTTAACTACGTTCTAAAATGAAGCATAAACTTAAGCCCAGTGTGATTGAACAAATATGAGCTTTACCAGGATATTTCCATTTGTCTTCCAACTTAGCCTTGGCTTGATAATAAGCACACAGTGTTTGGACGTGTGACTAAAGGAATGGAAGTTGTGCAGAGGATCTCCAACGTCAAAGTCAATCCCAAAACTGATAAGCCCTATGAAGATGTCAGCATCATCAATATCACCATCAAGTAAAATAAGAGGTTTCATTGTTTTGCAAGTAAAAAATAAACATCTATTAAGCCTGAATTATTTTACTTTAAGAAGCTTTGACTTACTAAAGATCCAAATCATGTTTCAAGGATGCAATATTATATTTTTCTACTTTTCATTAAAGGCCAGTTTTTTAAAACTGTCGTCTTTTTTTTTTACAATAGTTCTCACGTAAGAAGTGATCTGTTGAAATGGACTAAATGTGGGCAAAAAATACTCCCTAATTTTAGAGAGACTGAAAACTCTATTAGATAATCATGGCAGTATGCGTTTGTCTCCATAACCTTTAAAGACCCTGCCAGACACTCTTGCAGGTCTGCTTGCTTAGGTCATTAAGGTCCTGTGATCTGCTGTCATCTGATGTCAGGCTCTAACCAGGTTTGCATTCTGTGCAGATCAGTTTTGTCTTTCTTTGGAACATCATGACAGTACTTAGTGGTAAGGCTTCAGTAATTAGGAAGCCCCCTTTGGTCAAAATCATTAAATTCTTCAACAATTATAAAATATGCTCTCAATATGAGACTCAGAATAAATGAATACCTGAGTTTCTGGTTTTGTATGCAAGTTCATTTACTATGTTCACATTCCCTATCTATTATAGCTAACCAGTTTTGGGGGTATTTTTGTCTGTTTTCAAAACATGTGACCTAAGTAAATATCCCATGTTATAATACATCTTCAAAAAGTACACCATTACAAATTAATAGCACTTGTCTAGTTACCTAGTGCTGCTGCAACAGAAATCGGTGGCTGTGACAACCTGAGATGATTTTCTCACAATTTAGGAGGCTAGAAGCCCTAATTGAGGGGGCTGGCTCTAAGAAAAGCTTTCTTCGCCAACTCTGGAGGAAGAGCCTCTTTCTTCTACACCTCTGCTCCTGGGCCATCTTGGCATGTCTCATGCCCCATTGCTGCTGCTTGTGTTGTTTAATCTCTATCACAGGAGTCTGATTTAAGAAAACACCCTGCATTAATCCTATCTCAATATAATAAAGATAACCTATTCCCAAATAGGATTATAACCATAGGCATAGGGTTTGGGATTTACAACACATTTTGTGAGGACACAATTCAATCTGTAACACACACTCATTGCCATCGAATCAACACTGACTCATATAACAGCATTGAGTATGAGTCAGTCAACAATGCTAAGTCTATACAATAGGCTAGAAAACTCTTTAGGGGTAGGAAGCCCCGTCTTTGTCCCAAGGAGCACCTGGAAGTTTCAAGCTGCTTACCTTGCCGATTACAGCCGAACCTGTAACCACAATGCCACCAGAGATTCTCAGTCTCTAACCACTTGTAGTAATGGAGAGATTTAGTAGAAACAAACAACAAAACAGTAGGAATTCTAAGGCTTGTTTTTATTTTATTCATGTATTCTTACTATATAATGATTGAGTTTCCCAGACAGTGTTTGAAGAAACTTATACAGGCAAAATGTTTAGCAGACCTAGCTAGAGAATTCACATTCTTATGCTTTAAATCTGAGTTTATGCTTTTCCTTCTGTTAATCTGTACAGGATCATTTCCTTTTACTCACTTTATACCACAAATTTATGAGGAAAAAAAGGCCCATTTGTGCTATTTTAAACTATCATATTCTCCACTTAAAAACAGAACAAGGTTAAACAAAATGACTTCACTATGACATTCAAAATTTTCCTACTTTTAAATAGAGGAAAGAACTAGGAGGCAAAGGACATTTGTGTAGGTACAAATACAGGCACATACATATGTAAATATATATAACAATAGGGACATCTATATATGTACATTTATATGTGAATTATTAAGGTAGCAGATGGACAACAGGCCTCTATTAAAATCCTCCCTCAACACAATACTTTGTTCTAATAACATGGCATGCTGTAATGCTAACCCTTCTGAATCACTGAAGACAAAATGGGTCCATAAACAAATAGGAATAAAGTTAATGGTGCCCGGCTATCAAAAGATATAGCCTCTAGGGTCTTAAAGACTTGAGGATAAACAAGTGGGCATCTAGCTAGGAAGCAGCACATGGAACTCAAAGAGAGGTTACCCCTCAGGAATAGTATTGGGAGTAGCGATATTAGGAGGGGAGGGGCAAGGTGGAGGGAGAATGGAACTGATCTCAATGATTGACATGTAACCACCACACCCCCTACCCAGGGTGACGAACAACAGAAACGGGTGAAGGGAGACAGCGGATAGTGTCAGATATGAAAATTTATCAAGGGTTCATGAGGGTGGAAGGTGGGGTGGGGAATGAGATGATACCAACGGCTCAAGTAGAAACTTAAGCCCCCCCAAATAAAATGATTTAAAAATAAAATGTTTTGAAAAGGATGATGGCAACATTTATAAATGTGCTTGACACATGCATGTATGGATTGTAAGGGATTTAAGGGCCCCAAATTTTAAATTAAAATTTCTTTTCCTTAGCAACTTCATTCCTAAAAATTCAACTAATTTTTTTTCCAATTTATTTCTTATTGGGGGCTCATACAGCTCATCACAATCCCTACATGCATCAATTTTATATGGCACATTTATATATTCATTACGCTCATCGTTCTCGAAACATTTGCTCTCCACATAAGCCCCTGGCATCAGCTCATTTTTTCCCCTTCCTCCCCGCTCCCCACTCCTGAACTGTAAATTTTTTTTTTTTTAAAGTCATTTTATTGGGGGCTCATACATCACAATCCATACATACATCAATTGTATAAAACACATCTGTACATTTGTTACCCTCATTTTTAAAAATTATTTTATTGAGGGCTCGTACAATTCTTATCACAGTCCATACATACATCGACACAAGCACATATGTACACCTGTTGCCCTCATCAATCTCAAAACATTTGCACTCTACTTTAGTCCTCAATATCATTTTCTCATTTCCCCCCTCCCTCCTGAGCCCTTCATAATTCATAAAATATAGTTTTGTCATAAGTTACATGTACTGTAAATTCTTATTGATGCTGTTTATCAGGTGGTGATAAGACCTTATTCCAAAAATAATATATTTTTACTTTGAGTAAACATACTTCATTCATGAACTTTCCATTGCATGTCAAAAATTTCAGAATTAAAAATCTTATCATAGTGAATGAGTGGGGGAGTGCGCAGTGGAGACCCAAAGCCCATTTGTAGGCCATTGGACATCTCCTTACAGAAGGGTTTCGGGGAGGAGACGAGCCAGTCAGGGTGCAATGTAGTAACAATGAAAAATACAACTTTCCTCTAGTTCTAAATGCTTCCCCCCCCACCCACTATCATGATCCCAATTCTACCTTGCAAGTCTGGCTAGACCAGAGGATGTACACTGGTACAGAGAGGAACTGGAAACGGAATCCAGGATGGATGATCCCTTCAGGACCAGTGGTGTGAGTGGCGATACTGGGAGGGTAGAGGGAGAGTGGGTTGGAAAGAGTGAACCAATTATAAGGATCTACATATGACCTCCTCCCTGGGGGACGGACAACAGAAAAGTGGGTGAAGGGAGACATGTGACAGGGCAAAATATGACAAAATAATAATTTATAAATTATCAAGGGCTCATGGGGGAAGGGGGAAAAATGAGCTGATGTCAAGGGCTTAAGTGGAAAGCAAATGTGTTGAGAATGATGAGGGCAATGAATATACAAATGTGCTTTACACAACTGATGTATGTATGGATTGTGATGAGAGTTGTATGAGCCCAAATAAAACAATTTTTTTAAAATTTCAGAATTAGAAAAGAAAAACAAAAAAAATTTTTCAGAATTAGAGCTAAAATTGCTTGGTGATGTCTTTTTAAAAGCATATTTAAAATTATTAGAAACATGCAACTAATACTTATTCATTAATCCATTTCATTATTTATTCATCTAGCAAAGTACAACTGTTGCCACTGCAAATCCAGACTAGCCCAGTGTCACATAAGACACCTTTCTCTTAGCCATCTCCGTTCAGAAGCTACAGTGATGGGGTTTTCAAAGTCGTTTTCAAAACAGTCTCTTCAGATGCTATGTTCTCATGAAATAAAAGTTAAATAAAAGTTTACTGCAATAGCTTTCGTTTATTTAATGAAAAACATGTAAGTTCCCAAAATACTACCGTTGTACACGTTTAAATTATCTAAATTACAAAATACAGGTTATTTTCCTAATCTTACTTTTATTAAACAAATTACATTTTAAATTTCATATGAAGTCAAATCCTTTAATTGTTTTCTTAACCATAATAAATGAATTTAAATTGGTTACTAGCAGCAATACTGGAGTAAGGTTCAAGAAATAATTCTTCACAATAATGATAGGGCTTCCTCCTTTAAGATGATCTTAATATCTTACTGCTGTTTACTGAACAGACATGTATTTACTGCAAATAAAAGCTTATATATTGCTGACTATAAAGTATTCATAAACTATTGTCCAAGGCTATACAATTGACAAGCCTGGTATACATAAAACATAAATTATGTTTAACACAAATTCAGAGCTAGGGGGCAAATTCTATCTCTTTAAAACTTCTCATTCTTAAATTTGGGATTTTCCAGAAAAACAAGCACATACTTAACTAGCAATCAGTGAAAGAAAACAACCACAAACAGGAAGGGGAGCGGGGGTACTTAAAAAATATCACAAAACATTACCATTATATACTGTATTCTCAGCTTAAGTGTAGGCTTAAGCATATTACTTAAGTTCTATTCGGCAATGTGCTAAGAATGTGAATTACAAAGTTAAGCAAAATTGTCTAAATAATTTCAAGAAAACCAAGTTTGTGTTAGTATTACACTTTTATTTTTTAATTATCTAGTTGAGAAAACAGTCCAAAGGTTCACAGGCAAATGCAACTTTATTTTTCACAGTTACTGAAGTCCGTCAAATATTAAATAATTTAATTCAGAATTATTACTTATGCACACAAATGACATTTGTAACAGCATGACCTCATACTTGAAAAATGGATGAAATATTTTATGTACATATTTACACATTTCCCATAACACTGATGGGCTTTTTTAATGCTTTGTTTTCTAAAAGTTGTTTTGTTTTTTTTAAACAAAAATACTTTTGAAAAGACTGAACCGAAAGAGTGCCACCTAATGGCCATATTCTTTCACCAGCTATCTCTGTCCTTAAGACAATACAACCAGTCAGATTTAGGATTCAGCTTCATCCTAAAGTATGAAGAGTATTAAAAAAAAATGCAGATCACGATGTAGCTATTTTTAAATATAATAAACATGCTTCCATAGTAAAAGAGTAACCTTAAAAATTGAAGAAAAAAAAACAGTAAAGAGCACAAAATTTCAAAACTTATACTCTGAATACTGCGTTAACAAATGTGATGTAAACTTTTTGAACATTTCTTCCTTTCCTTACACAATGTATGCCTCTTAATGTAATTGCCAAGAAAAATGCACTTATTTTAGGAAAATATAACAAAGCAATTCTCACCGTTGAAACAACTTGCCATAAGGTAAAGTAGTTTTCTATTTAGGTACCTATCTTTATGTAAAATTGATCCTGGTTCTACATGTAATTCACTATTTTTTACCTATAGTCCCATTAAGGATGCAACAGTTTTCAAAGAAACACTACTAAGTACTTTAAATATATAACAAATAGAAGGACCAATTTAGAGTTCTGACCTTGGTTCAGCCCTGGAAATGGGTCTTTCAGAAGTGAAAATGAACCACAAAGTAAATGACTCACACTCTTTATTAATTGTTCCTCAATGTAGTGCTAATCTGATAAGTATAATCCATCAGGCTAGTTAAATAGCATTTCATTCTGTCTTACTGTGTTTAGTATAAAATGCTTTGAGAATGTTTTAATAAAACACTCTGTATCAAACATTAATTTTCTAAGTATAAGCCTTATAGTTCTTAGCTTAAAGGTGTTCTTTTATACTGAACATCAAAGTTAAGAATTCTATTACTCAAAGATGCAGTTTGGATTCGGCTTCCTGAAACCACTGCCATTTTTGCTGCTAAATGCTGGCAAGCGTCTGTGAAAAGGCAAAGGAAAACCGCAGCCATGGTGCCCTTGCTTCCTTCCTAAACGAGGCCCAGTAGGTATGTGGTGGCTGCTCTTTCTTCACTCAGAGAATAAACCTCCACGTAACCTTTCCCTGTGACTACTACTGTCTCAATATTTGGCTTGCATATAAAATGAAATTTTTAAATTAAAAATTATTTTTAAAGGCAAATTCAAGAAATCCCTTATTTAATCCAATCTAATCTGCCTAGATGATTGAAATTTCTCAGCAGAATAATTTTCAAAATCACTTTAAAAAGCAATCTTGTACTGAATTCTCAGGTCAAGATACTATTTATATAAATATCCTAAATCAACTGCCATCTTTGAGATGTAGAATTTCTTCCTGCATATGTGCAAAATACCTCTTAGCCACAAATGTTTATGAACAGCTTCTGCATTTAAAATCAAGCAACATCCAACACCCCAGCAGCCACAAGCTGCCGGGAGAGCCAGTCCAAGCCTTCGTGCAGTCCCATACCACTTCGTGCATCGCAGCCCTGAATGTACCAACTACGGCCACAGCACAGTTTATGGAGACTGAGAAGTTCCGTGATTTCTTCTACTGAAAGTGCTCCAGCAACATCCTGAAAGATACACACATCATAAATTTGTATGTCTCCAACCAAATTATTCTACTATTTACTATTTCTATAGAAATCTTAACACTTTTCTAACAAATGCCTACACAGAAGGAAAACATAAATTCACCTTCTAATATATATTCTGTGAATATGAGAAAAATTAAGTTTTGCTTAAAATTATTTTACATATATGGTGGCGGTGATGGTTCAGTGGCAGAATTCTATGCAGGACACCCAGGTCTGATTCCTGGCCAGAGCACCTCACACACAGGGTAAGGGAGAGGGAGGCAGGAGAGGGGAGAACAAAGCCCAGGGCGGGAAGCAGAATGAGTGGTGGTGCACTGAGGGGACCAAGCTAAATGAGTTGAAACAAACTGTGTCTTGAATTGTTGAATGTAAAACTAATAATCTGCTCTGTAAACCATCTAACTCACAATAAAGTCCAATTCTTTTTTAAAAATGAACTATATAATGATGAATTCACTTCTCTCTCACCCAAATATGCTTTCTTCCCAGAAGTAACTACAAGTAGCAATTTCTTACCAATTTTTCCACATATTTGGATGCACATTTGTATAAGTTAATAAGGGTTTGTGTGTGTGTGTCTGTGTGTGTGTGTTTGAGTCATTTTTTATCACAGAATTTCGGCGAAGGGGTGTGTGTGTGTTTTTTTAAAATACATCTTGAAAATCAAGATCTTTTCAACATCAACATAAGGAAAATGTTCTCATTCTTAACATATAAATTGAATTCTGCTGTGTATATACCAGAGGAGGCTTGGCATCGTAGTGGTTACATGCTGCACTGCTAACTGAAAGGTCCGCTGTTTGAAATCACCACATACTCCACGGGAGAACTCACAGCGGCAGTTCTACTTACTCTGTCCCTTAGGGCGCTGAGTCAGGATCCACTAGAGGGCGGTCAGTCTGGGTTGGATGTACCAACTTGACAAATGCAGGTAAGAGCTGCGTGGTTACATTATTACAAAGCTGCCTATTTTATCTACCTATCCCTCGAGAAATATATTCCAGATATATATCCTAAAACCTTATCCTGCAGATCATTTTACAAATATATGCCCAGCTGCTATCTTAATGCTTAACATATATGTACATTGCTCGCTATCCCTTTCATTATAAATTAGTATATTTACATGTATATAATATATATATATATATATATATCACTTCTAGATCTACCTTGTTTAGTCAGAAACTTAATTTTCCCACAGAGTAATATTTTTGTTTTTTAAATCATTGTATTGGACAGCTCTTATAGCTATTATACCATTCCATACATCAATTGTATCAAGCATATTTGTACATATGTTGCCATCAACATTTCCAAAACATTTTCTACATGAGCCCTTGGTATAAGCTCTTTTTTCCCCCTCCCTCCCCCAATCTCCCACCCATGTGAGACCTTGATCAATTATATATTGTTATTATTATTTCATATCTTACATGGTCAGTTGTCTCCCTTCACCCACATTTCTGTTATTCGCCCCCTGGGGGGGGGGGCTATACATCCAACAAAACCAATAGATAGTTCCAGATCTGTCTGCTGACTCTTAGGCATGTTTTCCAATCAAGTCTGATGAGGTGCTACGCAGAGTAATTTTTAAAGCAGTTAACTGAATTTCCAAACCAAGATCCCTTTTATCTAGGTATCCTAAATTAATTACTAACTTTGAGATGTAGATGTTTACAAAACTAGGGCAAACCACAAAACTTTAAACAACTTCCTTTAAACTCAGGAAACAGCCAGGAATGCAGCAGCCACAAGTCGCAGTGAGTCAGTCCAAACCCTTTATGCAAAATGGTGAGATCATGTTGTGTGGCAACATTAGGAGACCTGTCTGCAATGTGTATTACCACAGGCAGATTTGCCAGGCATGCACGTCTTTTGACAGGTACATCTAAAATTTTGGTAAATAGTGCCAAATTGGCCTCTAAGATAATGTCTGTTTAATAATCACAACTACTACAGTTGACAGTCTTTGACAATGATCCAACATTTTCATCTTTAATAAACTGATAGGTCAAAAATACTTACTTTTTTCTATTTTCATCTCTTTAATCAGAAGTATGGTATTGGGCCTTGTTTTATTTTTAAAGAGGGAAAACTATTCTCTATGCTCTTATTCTCTTCCTATGCTAACTAAGCTCCTCTAGTTAGCTCAAAGGCATCCTCACCCTCCTAAAAGCATAGGCTCAAGATCTAGTGGTCTTTAGCCATCCCTTAGAATTAGTAACCAAATTCTAAGAATTATACCCCTACCAGTTTCTTCAATATGCTACCAGGCTCAAGATCTAGTGGTCTTTAGCCATCCCTTAGAATTAGTAACCAAATTCTAACAATTATACCCCTACCAGTTTCTTCAATATGCTTCCATTTGGATACCATTACGTCTCTCACTTGGATTGCTGCAGCAACTTATAACACCTGGTTTTTGGTCCCTTGCCTAACTCATTGTATGTAGATCCCACTCCAGAATTACACTCCTAAAATACTGATAGGCTTTTATAACCAGACTCATTCTGATGGCTCTTGTTTGTTCATAAGATAAAACCTACAATTCTCAAGCCTTCATAATTTTTTTTTAATTTTTTTTTTGAGAATGAGACAGTGAGAGAGTGAGGCAGTGAGTGAGTGAGTCAGTGAGTGAGTGAATCAGTGAGTGAGTGAGTGAGGGAGTGAGTGAGAATGAGACAGTGAGAGAGTGAGACAGTTGAGAGAGCGAGGCAGTGAAAGAGTGAGAATGAGACAGTGAGAGAGTGAGAATGAGACAGTCAAGCCTTCATAATTTGGCCTCATCTACTGTTATAGATTTTCTTCTTAGTGTGGTAGGCTAAGCAGTTGGGTGGTGTGGCAGTTTACATAATTTCATGCCAACTTGAAGACAGATAAAAGTGTAAGGGTGGCAAACCCAGGGACAAGGGAACAACAAGCGATCCAAATTAGTGGGGAGGTGGGTGTGGGAGACCTGGAAGGGCATGATCAAGGGGAATGTAACAAAGAGGAAGTGCTGAAATCCTGGTGGGGACTGAGCATGATA